CTCCTCCTCCTCCTCCTCCTCCTCCTCCTCCAATGTATTATCATCCCTCTCCTTATAGCATTCTATTGCCTAGTTTTAATTAGTCTTTTTCTCCTAAAATAGCTTATAGGTGTGATCTTTATGCTCAGTTAGGGACTATAAAGAACATACACTCTGATGGGGTGAATGAATTAACATTTCTTCTGAGACTACAATCCTTGAGAGAATTGTAATAATTTTCAAGGTTAGTCCCAAGGTGGAGAGATGAGAAAATAAAGAGCAGTATTATAGGAATAAAAAAAGTCCATCCTCATAAAAGGACAGCATGAAAAAGAAAAGAAAAAAAAATCAATCTGGAGTAATATGAGGTGTATCCTTATTTGTTTTTTCTACAACTCTGTGCATAGCATTCAGTTGAATAGATAATATAACATATAGGCAGTTTTGATGTATAGAAAAGAAATTGAAATAGTATTCTTAAGGAGTTCTAAGGGAATGAAATCTATGAAAATGTGGGGTAGTATATTGCAAGGAGAACCTTGATATAGATCATTTCTCAAGGAAAACAAAAATCATATAGTATTAGAATTCCTTTTGGTTTTACAGGTATGTAATGGGACAACTGAAAGCACTCAACTGTGAATCTTAGTGACCAGTCCCTTCATGTAGTGGTGCATGAAAGCTGAAACTTGGTGAACATATTTTGCACTCTTTGTCAGCTTGGCTAGGGAAAGCATTATATTATTTTTAATTAAATTTACCTAGTATTCAAGGATAAAACTATAATTCCAAGGGCAATCCATCCTGTGAGTTCATATATCTGTGTCACATACATAAATAGACATGCTACAAATAATTTAAATACCATTGCTTTAATCCAGTTGAAGCTCTTGCTTCAAGTTCAGTTCAATCTGCATATTTCAGGATTGTAGCATAGGTTTGCTTGGAATGTATTTTGAATATGCAGTCAGAAGGATATGGTATAATTTTCCTCCTTTTTTAAATATTTTTTTTCACTGCCTTATTGTTCAGCCTTTGCATTTTCAAACCTAATGAATCATAATAAACAAGGATGAATTCGATTTCTCATACATGGATATGTTTTGTCTTACACTTCAAAAATGTGAAAGAAATATAAGTTGTCATTGTTAATTGATGCTGTTTCATATCTTTTCTCTCTCTCTTTAAAATCACAGATTCTACTCAGAATGGAAGAAGCCAACCAGACAAATGTCAGCTACTTCATCCTTTTGGGATTCCCTACCCGTGCAGAGCTTCAGGTTCTCCTCTTTCTCCTCTTCCTCTTTGCTTACCTGATGACCCTGGTGGAGAATATGATAATCATTGTAGTCATTTGGGTCAATAATAACCTTCATAAGCCCATGTACTTCTTCCTGTGCAACCTCTCCTTCCTCGAAGTCTGGTATGTCACAGTCATTGTGCCAAAAATGTTGGGAGATTTTGTCACACAAGACAGGCGCATCTCCTTCCAAGGCTGCCTAACACAGCTATATTTCTTTGTTACCTTTGTGTGCAGTGAATATATTCTTCTAGCTGTGATGGCCTATGACCGGTACTTGGCCATATGCTACCCACTTCGTTACCCAGTTCTCATGAGCAATAATTTCTGTGCTCAGCTTTCTGCAGGGTGCTGGATATGTGGTTTACTCACCTCCATGATCAAACTTAGTTTTATTGGGCAACTGAAATACTGTAGCACTTACAAGATCAATCACTATTTCTGTGACATTTCACCCCTCTTGAATGTCTCTTGCACTGATTCATCCATAGCTGAACTGGTAGATTTTATCCTGGCTCTAATGGTCATCATGGTACCTCTCTGCATGGTTGTTACATCGTACATTTATATCATCTCAACAATACTGAAGATCCCTTCCACTCAGGGAAGAAAGAAGGCCTTCTCTACATGTAGTTCTCACCTCACAGTGGTGGTGCTCTTTTACTCCACCACCCTCTTCACCTATGCACGGCCCAAAGCTATGTATGCCTACAACTCCAACAAACTTGTGTCAGTGCTCTACACTGTGATAGTTCCTCTTTTGAACCCTCTAATATATTGTCTCAGAAATAAAGAAGTAAAACATGCCTTGAGGAAGACATTTTCAGGCTAAATACTTAGGCAAAGTACTTATTTCATATCACTGGAAACAGATTAATTCTACAAATCTATACAAAATTTTAGGTGCATGTACACTTGTGGTCACTGTCACTTAATTTACAATGCATTACCATCTTATCCTTCTACTGTTTGGGCAGAAATTATTTCAGATGTTAATTTTGTTTTGGAAGATTCACTGATGTTTGTGGATGGTCTTCTGAATTATATACCATTATTTTTAGAAATCAAAATGAATACCCATACAATGGATATTGACGCTCTTAAGACTGCAGAAAAGATTCAGTAAGTTAGTCTTTATTTTGCTGATATATCAGTATGAAATATATAGAATTATAAACAACCAAGAATAATAATTTAAGATATAGAATAAGATATTAATAATATACAGAGATTACTGACATAGAACTGTAGAACTTTTTAACACTAAGATCTAATTATAAAAAAATTGTTCTTTCTATTCATATTAAAACTATAAGGACTAAAATATGGTGGTGTAGTATAAACAATAAAATAAAATTGCATTAAATAAATAAGATAAAACAAAATAGATTAAAATAGTCAGCAGATCAAAACATTTATGCTATATTATGATCTTCTGATAGATTTCATGACGTAAGGAATTTACCAGTACCATAAGAGGGCTACATGAAATTATAGAGATTAGAATTTAAGGTATAAAGTTATAGATTGATATCAAGGTTTTAAAGACCACTAACACAAAACTATAAATAACATTAAGATCTAACTATAAAAACAGTACTTATTGTTAATATTAAGACTGCAAAGGTCATGTTATGACTATTCAACTAATAATAATAGCAATAATAATAATTTATGAAAGGTATATGCCACCCCACTCTGATAGATAATAAAACACGTTAAATAAAGCAAAACGAATATTAGAAGCAGTCAGTCTAGACTATAAAGTATAATAAATTAAGAATGTCCATTACTAACATTAAAGTATAAATCTGGTTTATTTAATATGAGCAGAGATGAAAGGCAAGACAAGGCAAGGGGTAACAGGCACAAACAAAGCTCCATTGATGAAATTGATTTCCAATAGCCATTGTTCCACAGGCAATTTTGCTCCCTTATTGATG